GCGGTAATTTTAGGGTTAGATATTTGCGATTTTCTAGCCTTGTGCTCTTGTGTTTCCTGCTGATTTTATCATCAGAGCAATACTAAAGTTGGGATGTCAATTTGTCTGGAAAACATTTTACTTTAGGTATTTTCACAACTTTTTATTGTTAGAAGAGCTGTGTTGTGTAAACACATTTGATAGAAAGTTTTAAGTCCAAAATTTGATTTTACCTTAAACCTACATTAACTGCTGTTAGTGTAATTTTTATGACTGCTCAAAAGAGAACTAGAAAAGAGTGGGGAACTACCCTCTAGCTGTCGGTTGAGTTTTTCTAATAGTTTCAGATTTTGAAAAATCACATATGCACAGGAAGTTACAAGGAAGACATACCAAGGACCTGAGCGCCCTGCTTCCCCAGTACTTATATCTTATTTAATTAGACTACAGATGCAAAAATCAGGAAATTAACATCAAAACACTGGGCCATTTTAGTTCTGTGTAATTTTCCAGATGCTGTCATTTGCAGGAAAATGGGTGGAGTTAGAGATCATCAAGGTAGCAAAATAAGCCAGACTCATGGTGGGGGTGGGTGATCATGTTTCTTTCATGTGTGTGCAGAATCTGGAAATAAATAGACATGACAGTAGATGAAGAACTATTAGGGAAGAGGAAAGGGATCTGGGGGAGGGTTGTAAGAGTCAGGATGGGTGTTGAGTGTAATTAAAATACATTGTATGTATGTGTGAAAAATGTCACAGTGAGATCCACTAATTTGTACACTTAAGGTAAATTAACAATGCATTTATTAACAATATATATGTATTTATAGCTAGGACTGGATATATCACAGGCTGGCTTCATACTTGCTATATAGGCAGATGTGACCTCCTGATCCCTCTTTTGTCCACCTCCAGAGTACCAGGATTATAGACATGCACCACCAAGTCCAGGGCTGTCATTAAACCCAGAGGTTTAGGCATGCAAAGCAAGTACTCTATCAACTGTGTTTCATCCTCAGCCTCCAAAGCAGTCATCTTCTGAGTGGATATATAAGCACATAAACATAAGAAGTACATACACGTTGATAATTTCTTTTCTTTTAGCATTTGAAACCATGGCTTCCATGGTTGTAGTGGGTTAGATATGCAGTGTCCCCCAGAGACTCGGGGGTCAAAGGGTTGGCCCCCATGTGGTCTCAAGATTTTGGGAAGTGGGGGAAGTTTGAAGAGGTAGGTAGGGTCTGGTTGCAGGAAGACACTGGAGGTGGTGTGCATCTTCCTATTTGTTTGTCTCTCCACTTCCTGGTCACTATGAGTTGACTACCTCCTACTGCACATTTATCCTGCCTTACTGGCCCAAAGCAATGGATCCAGTTGACCATGGACTGAAAACTCTGAAATCATGCTCAGATATAAACCTTTTCTACTTTAAACCGCTATGCTCAGGCATTTGTCTCCACAACAACAACTAACACAATGGTTTGTGGTGTCAAATCTACCTTTGTTTAAATAGTTTTTCTTCCAGGAGGTGAAGTTTTATTTCTCTCTCATTCTTATTTTAATGCCTGTTCTTTAGTTTTCAGAAACTTGTCCACATATATCTCTATATATCTTCTATATCTTCTATATCTTGTCCACATATACAAGCAAGAATGCACATATATTGTCCACATATATGTGCATTCTTGCTTCTAAATTTATCCTTTTGGATGTTGGCTTATGTTCTTGAATCTGGTGGTTTGATCTTTGTAAGATGTGGAAAAGTTTCAGCCTTTATTTCTTCAAATACACTTAGCCACCCACTTTCCTTCCCCTCCATGAGATGGATGGTGTGACACTTAGCCCTTCTGATGCGGTCCCCAAAGCTCCCCAAGAGTGCTCCAGGCTTTCTGGATTACTTCCTGTTGTTTAGGCTGGCTGACATCTCCCTGTTCTGGGATCAGATTTCCTGCTCTTTCTCTTCTTGGCACGCCAAGTTCTGTGACTGAGCCTATCCACCGAGAGTCACCTTTTGGACTGACGGTATTTTTCAGTTCTGAAATCTTCACTTGGCTCCTCCTGACTTCTTTGCTGAGCCACTCCTGGGGTTTTCACTTGTTGAAGAAGCTAGTCAGAACGCGGTCACCAGAACACGGTCATGGAAGCATTTCTAATGATGACTTGTTTGAAATTCTCATCAGGTTATTTTAGTATCTCCGGGCGGGGGGCGGGGGGTACACCTTGGAATCTGTTGTTGGCACTTTTTCACTTGAGTTGACATTTTCTGAAATGATGAGAGAATTTTGATAGACACCGGAACATTGGGATATTATATTCTCAGACTCTGGCTGTCATTTCAATTCTGATGAAACAGGTCTCCCTGACATTATTTTGAAAGGAAAGAGAGATACTACCTCATGCTGCCAAAGAGGAGTGGAGGCCCAGGTTCTCTACTTCCTATTTTAACACTAAAAGAGAAGTCTCTTTCTTAGAGACAGAAGGCTGAGATTTCAGGCTCCTTTTCTGGTTACTCCCTGGCTGGGTGGGTTAGCGTCTTATTAATGCTTCCTGTGTGTCCTTGTTACTGCTCATCTCCAAGCCTCCTTGCATACCATCCCTGAAGAGGATTTCTCACAACTAAAATGAAGTATTATGTCCAAACTCATCACATCTTCACTGTGTTAGGGGAAGGTCTCAGTATTACCCAGTGGGAATGAAAGTTCTGGGTCTCTTCCTTAGCCTTCTCTGATTGACCCTGCTGGGGAGTCCAATAGCCTTTATGGCCTGGAAAATATGGAAGCCTGGATTTTCTATTTGTCCTTTCCTGGTGGGCATGGTGATAGACAAAATGATCTTTTATCTCCCTGGCATTTGTTTGGGTTGAGGGGCTAGTATCTAAAGGTTTTATATCTTTCTAGGTGGTCTCTTTCTGGTTCTTTATCCAGAGAGCTCAAGTCCTTCTTGAGACATCGTTTTCTGGTTTATACTTATTGATGTTACTGGGATGTTGATCCCCCCAGTTCCTGCTTTGGGATAGAAGAGGCAAGAAGGAAATCTGGGGGTCATTCTCTGAGCCTCTAATTTCCACATGGTTTGGCTTCTTCTGCTTTTCAGGGTTTATATTTGTTTCCTGTATAATCACAGGGCTTCACAGAACTAGGTGATAAGATCCTATTGCCAAAGACACTAAGACACTTTGCTCACAGGTCATAGAGAAATCCTGTTGGTACTGACCAAAAGCTTTACCCTTGACTGGTTAGCTTGCATATCTACAGCTATTATTTTGCTAAATGAATATGTTATCAACCTGCCCTCTAAGTTCACATCTCTATACTCGTAGATGAGTGCTGCAATTACACTCCATCAGAGAAGCTTCTTTGTGCAGTGTATAGTGGTTAACACAGAAACTCACAACTAGTCAAGTGCAGTGAATACTTGTCAGTGGGATGGCCAGTCACAAATGAGACATCTACAACATGCTCTTGCCCCTAAGACTCAGGGACGATTGTGAAAGAGGGGATGGAAAGATGGTAAGAGCCAGAGGTCCAGGAGCGAACAGTGTTTTCTGAGTGTGAGGACTGCTGCACTTGTGAACTTGAATTAGCTGTGGATGCCAGTCAGCACTTCACCATGGAGTGAGGAGGGACGCACAGTTTCCCACCCCTAGCTGAGGAGCTAGGGGCGGTTGATGGCTTCTTGAGGAGGGAGAGTCAGTTTTCTTTAAGGGTGTGGTCTTGGTAGATGGTCCCACACCCGTGAATATACACACAGCACCAACTAGACTAAGTGGGTTAAAAAAAAAAAAAAGAGGACACTAAGGTGGGAAGGGCCTGCGTATGTATATGATCAAAGAATAAAATATTACATTAAAAGAATTCTGGGGATTTCTCTCAGAAGGAAGAAGAAAGACATGAAGATGTATGTGATCTTTCTGGATGTTTCCTTCTTCCCCCCACCCCCACCCCGTTTCTTGAAGCACAGTCTTTTTCTATAGACTTGAAGTCCACTATGGGCTCCCTACTCTACAGCCTCGGAGCTCACTATGGACACCAGATTTAGGTTCATACTATGCAAACCTGGTCTTGAATTGAAGCAATTTTGCCTCTTTTTTTTTCTCTTCTGATTGCTAAGATTACAGATGTGAATGACTACATCTGGATTTACTTTGCTTTTTAAATGTATGAGAATAATGATTTTTATAACCTAGTTGTGTCTTATGATATGTTAAGCAACCCAGCCACTAAAATGATGGACACAGAAAAATGTTTTCTTTTAAATTAGGATTAAAATGCATAGATAGCATAAGGGGAAAATTATATAACTGTATGCCGTGTTAAGCATAATTTGCTCTATGTGGAAAAAACCAATTATAAGAAGAAAACTGGAAGTCCTGACTAAATATTGACCATTTGTGGGGTGGAATTGTGAATATTTTTTCTTTCAATATGCAAAAGTTAAAATAGGAGAACATTATATATTTAGAACTAAAAGTAAAAGAAATGTTATTTTATTTCTGAGAAAGACACATACAAACATCTTTTTAGATAGGAAGTACTTTTCATGGATTATCTAATCTATTTAGGTATGCAACATTTCTCATGAATTATCTAATCTAATTGAAGACTGAAGATATTTTCAGTCTGGATTTAAGCAAATTCAGACTACAGTCATGGGCTTAGACCAATTTTCTTCTGTTAAGAGGCCATTATAACCAATGACAATTAGCCACTAGCCTATATTTACCATCCTAAAAAAATGAAACGTGTTATTTGGAGATTAACAAGAATGCTTTATGGGCTTCCAGAATACCACAAGCCTGCATAAGGCAGAAGACATGACCAACAGACCCAGGATGCTGAGTGAAGATTTTCAGGCTCTGTAAGCTGGGTGGATCCCTGTTTTTGTATTGGGTGTGCCTGGTTGAGGTTCTGAGTCCCAGATGGATCTGTGTATCCAGACGGAGTGTGGCCTGGTTGAAGTTGGACTTCTCTCTTAAGCACCAACACCAAATCTCGATCCACCTCGCTGGAGATTTAACATTCATGCACAGCAGTTTTCAACTGTGCAAATCACATAGGCTGAACATGGTTCACACGTGCTGTTTGATGTGGGTACTGTAGAACATGGATTGCAGGGGAGTCTGGGGAAAACCAATCCAAACTAAGTTTAGCGAGAGGATTTTGGTAGCGTACCATCTCAGTAACATCTCAGGAACATTAGAAATTGCCTTACAAACTGTGCTCAAGAGAGGCCTGGCATTTGGCCCTAGCCTGTGCCACCTTTGGACCCAGAACAGCCATAACCTCCACCTCCAGTACCGCTTCCTGCTCCCTACAGCAGGGATTGCTGCTCAGCTCCTTTTCTTCAGTCTGTCAAATGTTACATCACGTACCCTCCCGATTTCCTCTTGTGGAAATGGGATCTATGAAAATCATTCTGTTTCAGAACGTGAGGATATTTTAGAACACTTCCACTATCAGAGATTTAGCCTCAGCTTTTTCTTTTTACACTGACTTGTGTGTGTGTGTGTGTGTGTGTGTGTGTGTGTGTGTGTAGGTCAGAGGACCGCCTATAGAGTCAGTCAGTTCTCTTTTTTCCACTATGTAGGTTCCAGGGAGCGACTCCAGGTTGCTAGGCTCCACCGTAAGAACCTTTACCCACTGTGGTAGTTTGAGTGAGAAATGTCCCCTGTAGGTTCAGGTATTTAAACATCTGGCTCCCGATTGTCTTGACGTTCTGGGGAGATTGTGCGGCTCTGATGGAGGAAGTACATTCACTGGGGGTGGGCTTTGAGAGTGTATAGCCTTGCCCCACTACGGTTCACTCTCCCTGCTTGTGTTTACAGTAGAGAATATGATCTCTAAAGTTCCTGCTTCTGCTGTCAGGTCTGATGTTTGCTGCCGTTCTGCCTGCCATGACAGACTCTTACCCATTGGCAACTCTTAGCCAAAATAAACTCTCTTAAGTTGTCTTTGGTCACAGAAACAGACGTAATTAAAACACCCACTGAGCCACTTAGCCAGGCCTTTCCTGCACTTTTTAAAAAAGAAAGACCCCCTAAACCTATTAGTAGGGGGTTGACTTTAGGTCCTGAGGAAGCAGGATTCCCCCCTGGGACTCTGGGGACTGTGGAACTGTGGAACTTGCCTGCTGTCCTCTTTCTCCAGCAGGCCCCGGTACGTGTTGATCTCACACTCCAGCCGGGCCCGGACGTCCAGCAGCACCTGGTACTCCTGGTTCTGACGCTCCAGGTCACAGCGGATCTCAGCCAGCTGGTGCTCCACACTGTCAATTAGGCACTGCATCTGAGTCAGCTGTGTGCTGTACTGGGCCTCAGTTTCTGCCACAGTACACTCCAGAGATTCTGTCTGCAAGAGGAAGACCTTCTCAGAAGGACCCTGTGACAGCCCCTTTGCTGTACCCCTTTCCTGCTCTGAGACTTTAGGCAAGTTACTTAGCTTCTCTGAGCCTCCGTTTTATCCTATAGTCAATGGAGAATGCAAAGTACCTATGTCATGGGGAGGCCGGGAGGGCAAAATGAGTTGACATATGGGGAGCACTTGGTACTGTGCCTGGGAAAAAAATTCAAGGCCTTTAAATGTGTCACCTCTATCCTTTCGACAACTGTCCCTTGGGACTTATTTGTGTAGCTTAAGGAGGGTTGACAGCATTTGGGAACTCTGAGTTTGGGTACCCAGCGGGGAAGAACAGCGCAGTGTTATCGCAGTGACAGAAGATTGGGGGTTCAACCACCTGGATTCGGTTTCCCCTGAGAACTGCCGAGCAGTCTGGAACTCACTTCCTTTGGCTCCAGCTTTCCCCCAACCTGTTCAAGGAGGCTAGTGAAGGTGTCCGCCATAGATTAAACCGGGCCTCGCCTAGATGAATGCTCAGGTGTGGTTCATCTGGGTATGCTCCTTGGACCCCACCCAACAGTGCATGCTGTGGTGCCGGATGGGACCTGGTGCATGTGACTTTTACTGCATGGTGTGCTGTTGTTGCTTGGGTGGGGGAGGGGGGTGGTAACGTGCAGATCTCAGTTATAGTATGAACACTTGAAAAACGATTTTGTGTGTGTGTGTCTTATAGATTTGATGGTGAAACTGGAAAATTGCCCATTGATCAAAAGGATATTAAAATCTGTTAAGCTGAAGTGCCTTTGGCTCAGCTGTCCCAGTCACACTGTGTTCTGAGACTTTTTTTTTTGTTTTTAGTGGGTGGTATTGGGAACATACTTAGGCCTAGGAGGACCAAGGAGACGGCCTGATGAGACCAAGAAAGCTGCTGACCTGTCATGTTGCTACCAATATGGACTATTAATGTATGTGGAGAAAGGCAGGGAAATGCCACCCTGACTAGTGGGATGCTCAGTCCTGCTGCACGAACTGTGAGCAGCTCCCTGGACTTCTGTCAAAGAGTGTAGCCTCTCCAAGCATGTTGCTGACAAGGGATGACACTGTTTGTCCCACGCACCAGGGTTTGCTGCGCCTGGAGCTCAATTTCCAGAGCGTTGGCCGTGCGCTTCAGCTCCAGCATCTCAGTCTGGCATCCTTGCAGTTGCTGCGCACTGGACATCTGCTGCTGGTTCAGCTCTTCTGTCTGAAACACAGGCCATGTTTGAGAGCTCAGGCAAGGCTCCTTCCCGGAAGCCCGCCCTTTCCGGTAGCCCGCCCTTTCCGGTGGGCACCGACCTGAGCAGTGAACCACTCCTCCGCATCCCTGCGGTTATTGGCCAGCACCCTCTCATACTGACATCGCATCTCATCCAGAACCTTGTTGAGGTCCACAGTGGGGGCGGTGTCCAGTTCCACGCTGAGCCGATCTCCAAGCTGCTCACGAAGCAGGTTGACTTCCTGTGAGTGTAAATGGAATAAAGAATGTCAGAGTGGGGTGTGTGTGTGTGTGTGTGTGTGTGTGTGTGTGTGTGTGTGTGTGTGTGTGTGTGTGTGTGTGTGTGTGTTGTGTATGAAATGTCAATTTGATAAAAAATATAGCCTCCTATTTTGTTTTTTGGCATGGGCTGTAAAAGTCTGGGGTTTTGATTCAGATTCTCTTGGTTGAATCTTTTTTTAAAATTACTTCTGTTTAAGAAAGATTTTAAAAATTTACATGTATGTGTGTCTGTTGCCACATGGAGCTGGAATTATGGGCAGTTGTGAGCTCCCTGAAATGGTGCTGGAAAATGATCTTGGGTCCTCTGGAAGAGCAGTAAGCACTCTTAACCTCTGACTCATCTCTCCATCCTCTCTTTCTGTTAGTTTCAATAGTCTCAGTTTCTTCATCTGCAAAATGGTTGTAATATTGTACCCTTTCCCAGAGGGTTATTGTGAGACAGGGAAGAGTTAAACACAATAAATTCATAAAATTCCTAATAACATGCTAACATATCTGGAATTGCTAGCTCTTATTACCATCAAAATATGCAAAGAATAAATTTTTGTTTTACCTTGTTAAGTAACTCTGCTTTTCATTCTTAACAGTTTATGATAGAGACAAGAATATCAATGCACCATATCTGAAAATATTACTCCTAATATTGCATGACTATTTACCCCTTTTTGGAAGGAGAGACACAGCCTGTTTATCAGCTTAATTTTCTTGTTGTACAGTAGAGCTACGGAAAAAGCCATTAGTGGAGTTCATTTTCCAACCAAGCAATGGCAGGCAAGAGAGTGGCCTCAGTCCCTGGCGCTGCTGAGGGTGATGTCACATAATGACACATGCTGTATGTCACATCTACCTTGGGAAACACTGGGGTGCTCAGGCCATGCAGTAGGCATGCCTTTGGTTTTGTTTCAGCTTAGTCAGTGTGTGCCCTGTTCAGTTCAGATCTATGAAATCTCTCGTTAGAACTTTTCTTCCCTATAGTCCTTGGCACAGTGGCCACTTTGCTTACCTCTTCATGACCTTTCTTAAGGCAAATGAGATCATCTTTCAGAGACTCCACATGGGCCTCCAGATCTGATTTGCACAGGGTCAGTTCACCCAGGATCCCACGAAGGCCACTGATGTCATTCTCTACCAGCTGGCGAAGAGACAGTTCACTCTCATACCTTCAGAGCAAGAGAAAGAGGAGGGGGGCTTACTTGGCTAAACACTGACCAAAGTGCTGGGGTACAGGGGTGAGTGACATGTGGCCTCAGGGAGCCACATACCACAATTCCCCTTGCATCCCAAATGATGGTGACTTTAAGTTTCAAACATTCTCAGTTTAAAAAAAGAAAAAAAAATCTCATACAGAGAATATTTTCTGTCTCATTGGAAGCCATTATTATTTTCAAATTAAATTTAAAATTTAACATGTAAATTGTATACATAAAATACAGGGTGGTTTAAAAATAAATACAGTTTGACTTACTTTGACCTAAAATCATCAGCAGCCAATTTGCAGTTGTCCACCTGTACAGCAAGTCTAGAATTCTCTGCCTTGGTGCACAGGATCTAAGAGGTAAGTCATCATGGAATCAGCAGCTCTTTGGAAGAAACCTACACATCTATTTTAACAGCCATGCCATTCATTAGCTTATGGAAGTTTTTGCAAGTTAGCATAACTTCGCTTTCAATGTGAGTTTCCTATTAACTATCCCAGGAAGAAAACAAAAAACCATGCAGTGCCAATTCAGAAACAAAATACAGAAATAAAAAGAGGTTCTCTTTCTAAAAAAAAAAAAAAAAGATTTTTATCTTGTTTTCCCAATTATATGTGTGAGTGTATGTATGTGTGTGTATTATTGTGTGCATGTATGTATGTATGTATGTATATGTGTGTGATTGTGTGTATAGACTTGTGCATTGCCTTAGGTGGTCAGAAGAGGGTGTCAGCTCCTCAGGAGATGAAATTATAGGTGGTTGTGAGCTGCCGTACGTGGGTGTTGGGAACTGAACTCAGGCTGCTTGTGAGCAGTACAATGCTGCTATTCACTGCCAGCCATCTCTTCAGCTCAAGGTTTCCTTTCTAAGTGACACAAGGCAAGGCCTTTTGCAATCATCATTGGCAGTTGAGCTTTGTTAGTTTCCTCTGTTTCTAGTATTTATTAGAGTTGGGTCTCTGTCTGTGGTCATAGAAATTCATCAATTAGAAAAAAAAGAGATGGCTTTGACAGTAGAGCATTTGCAATGCAAGCAGGAGGTCCCGGGTTCAGTCCCACAGAACTCATGTAAAGAAAGCTAAGTACAGCGGTGTGTGCCTGCTAACCCTTGTACGGGGCAGGAGGAGGCAGCTGTATCCCTGGGATACAACTCTGGCCAGCCAGTCAGTCATATCAGTGAGCTCCATCTCCCTTGAGAGACTCTGTCTCTAAAAACAAGGTGGGGAGTGGAAGACACTTGCCATTGACCTCAGGCCTTCTCCTGCATATACATACATTCCCTCCACTCGTGCACATACATCCACTTCCCCGCCAACCCCACATGTATGCACGCGCGCGCGCGCGCACGCACACACACACACACACACACTAAAGGAAAATGACCACTAGGTGAACTAAAATAGATGATGTTCACAATTCGTTTGATAAAGAGCATAAATATGCAATGATACACGCAGAACAGATTTGAGATGTCATGATTCAACTTCTCCCTCTCTGTAGAGGACAACGTCTACAGAGAGATGACATTTCTAGAGTCATTCAATAGTTAGTGCTGACCCTGAGACAGATTTCTTGTCATCTATGGCCCTCTTTTTCTGGCAGCATATTAGCTCTTGGAATCCCTCCTCCTTTGGTTTTACATCAACAAAGCAACCTGCTCCAGGATAACTATGAGCGAAATCAGAAATGGAAGCAGAGAACACTAGGGAATGAGACAAACAACCTTTTGTTGGAGTTCTTCAATGGTGTCGAAGTAACGCTGGTAATCCGGGCACACCAATGGGGCGTCGGGCTCGCATTGCTCTCGGATCCTGCATTCCAGTTCCGCGTTGTTCTCCTCCAGGCTTCTCACCCTCTCCAGGTAGCTGGCCAGTCTGTCATTCAGGAACTGCATCGTCTCCTTCTCATTACTGTTGAACGCCCCTTCCTCACACCATGCACAGCTCCCCACCAGGCACGGACTGTTACAACCGCCAGCGAAGTAGCAGGGTGAGAGGTGAGTCCTGCAGAGGAAGCTGGGGGTCTGACATCTGGATGTGGCGCAGGTGCTGGGAAGGCAAGTTGTGTCGGTGGGACAGGGCGAGGCAGCTACACAGCCTGACGCCTCTGCACAGGGCTCAGAAGAGCAGCACCCAGGGGAACCGTCGGAAGCCATCTTCTGAGAAGGAATGAACAGCCTGGATGCAGTAGTGCCGAGGTCTCGTCTCCAAACGTCCCCTTCCCTTCTGAGACCTTTATATCACCCCTCAAATGGTTGTTTACAGGCCACACCAGTGTTTTCTCAGGCACCGCGGGTGCCAGTTTCCCTACAAACATCTCATTAGTGTTGCTTATTTACCGAGGAAGTTTTATGCCTCATAAAAGAAGGATAACTTCAGGTTACTAAATCAGGACTAATGCCATTTCCACATGCTGCTTGGATAAAATCCTTATTTTAGCAAATGGTCATAGGAAACATTATCCTTTTGAAAGACTAAGGAACCCAAGAGAAAATGTGAGCCATCAGTAATTATAGGTAGAGCTCATTAGAGATACAGAAAGTAATATTTCCATAGGTTTTGATTTTGAAAATTGATTGCTCTTGTCTACTTTAAAAACAGACACCACAGCTCATTAAATTGCAGGTATTTGATTGTGCTACCAACCACCATGAAAATGGTGGTTAGCAATCTTGAAGTGCTTGTGTGTGTGTGCGTGCGTGTGTGTGTGTGTGTGTGTGTGTGTGTGTGTGTGTGTGTGTGCGCGTGTGCGCTTGAAGCAAGTGCTTACATAGTTAAAAAAAAAAGATATACTGAGTATAAAGCATGTGTGTTCATTTTATAGAACAATAAGAATAAGTTGTGCCCTTATGAGCCAAAATATAAACTGGTTGTCAAGATCTGAGTTGTGATATTTGGTTATCGAAAACTTTCGATCACTAGCCAAGCACTAATCGTGCCCAACCCTGCTTAGGTTTTGAGATTGGATCTGCTCAGAGTGGATGGTCATACACATAAGCTTCACCTTTTGTATTTCCGTTTTAGAGTCCTTATGCTATTTTTTTTAAAAGCTGTTATTGTTTATTTGTTTTGGTGTTGGGGCTCAAACATAAGGTATTGTTTATACTACATATATGATATACCCCAAACTACAACCCCAGTCCTTACCTATATTTCTAAGGACAGTGGAGATATAAATTGCAATGAAGATTTGGGTAACCTCATTGCTTACACTTAGAAGTAGAGCCAAGGAAGCCATAAAAAGCTAACAAGAGTCTGTTTCCTCTTGTTTATTTAGGAAAGTCTCAATTTCATGAAAATTAGAAATATTGGGACTTAGGGGATGTGATTATGTTTCAAACAGCAGTTCCATTGAGTCTAAACCTCTGGTACAGAACCAGCTGGATGCAGATTTGAGACGGAACTTCTTTTCATTTGTTTTAGGACTTCACCTCTACTATAAAGCACAATTTTATGTTGTTTTTACTTTAATTGTGATTTATCGTTCACTTTCAAAAGTACACAGAGAAAATTTCTTCAGAGTCAGTAAGAGTCCATCTCCTGAATGTGTGTTGTGTGTGTGTGTGTGTGTGTGTGATATGTCTATGTGGAAGCCAAAGGTTGATTCTGGGTGTCTTAAATTGCTCTTTATCTTATTATTGTTATTCTCTTTGAGATAGGGTTTCACTATATAGCTCTACCTGACCTGGAGCTCCCTATGCTATGTAGACCAGGCTGAACCTGTCACCGGAATGATATGATTAAAGGCATGTGCCCCCTTTTGAGACGAGGTCTCTCACTGAACCTGGTGCTCACTCGTTCAGGTAGGCTGGATGGCCAGTGAGCTCTAGGGATCTTCTTGCCTCCCTGCTCCCTCCCTGAACACTGGGATTACAGATGTACTGTTGTGCCTAGCTTTCGTGCTGGGAATTTGAACTCAAAACTTCAGGCTTGTGCAGCCAACTCTTTACTGATCCAGTCATCTCCCTAGTCCCTGTAAGACTCTTTTTAAGGGAAAGAAAATCCATTAATCTGGGAAAGTGAGAAATTTCATAATCTAAAACACAGTTGTTTCCTCCCTTTTGAGCATTGCTTCCTAGGTAGCTGCCAATGGAAATAAAATAATAAAAATCAGGAGAATGAGCTAGTGTGTAAGATAATATCCTAGGATTCTTTATTCATGAGTTATTTGAATCCTTGTGTTATATATTCTTAGAGGGGTTCATAGTGTACTTACTGATACTATTCTGTAAAGGATATGATGCAGAGGGTTCAAAAGCACACTTGAAAAGATAAATACCTAAAATAAAATCATACTCCAGGAGTAAACTGATAAATAACATGCAAAATAGCTTTGAAGAGAAACTCTATTGACTACTGGTCGTCTATCATAGGCCTTGGTAATTTTTTAAACATAATACTATGAAGCAGGTTGTGGTGATGCATGACCAGAATCCCAGCACTTGGGAAGCTGAGGCAGGGGGATTAGAAGTTTGAGGATGGTCTGGAATACATATCAAGAACTCTGTCTAAAAAACCACCTCCAAAAGAGTGTTATAATTTTAAATTATATTGTTATTATTTTAAATTAACTCTTGAAAAAAAAGAAAACAAGGACTATTTCCTTTGCCTTGAACTAAGTTCTGATTGGAGAGTTTTGGCTGCTGGTTATTGCATCTGAAGGACATGGGCATTCATTTTGGTCTTGATTAAATAGGCAGTTTTGTATAATAATGAATAGCTGTACTCTGAGAATGTGGAAAGGGGCCAGAACACACACCTGAACCTTATAATGGTCAGAAGAAGAGACCATTGGGAATGGAGGGAAACAAATCGACATCATGAAAGTTCATGATGGCAAACATGGTTGTTCCGTGTATGATGCGCTCTTGTTTTGGGACACCCACCGACTCCCGCTGCCAGAGTCACTCTTTTGAAAATCCACTTTTATTCCTCACTGATACAATCCAAACTGTCTACCTCGGCAACCAGGATCTTCCTTCCCTGGTTGCTAGCTCCTTCTCTGGCTTCCACTCTTCTCACACACCCAAGCTCCGGCCACTCTACAAGTTCACAGCGTTGATTCCCCTGCCCCTTCCGTGGCTCACCTTTCATGTCAAAAACTAAGGGAAATTGCTGTGGATGATTGATTGATCGATAAATAAAACACTGATTGGTCTGTAGCCAGGCAGGAAGTATAGGCGGGACTAGCAGAGAGGAGAATTGGGAGAACAGGAAGGTGGAGTGGGAGGAGATGCCAGTCTGCCATCCAGGGAGCAACATGTAAAGACAGCAGGTAAAGCCACGGAACACGTGGCGACATATAGATGAACAGAAATGGGCTGAGTGTAAGAGCTAGACAATGGCAGACCTGAGTTAATGGCCAAGCAGTTTAAATAATATAAGTGTCTGTGTGTTTATTTTATAAGTGGGCTACGGGACTGCTGGGGCTTCGCGGTACTCTAGCTACAGAAAATGCCATCCAGCTGCCTCAGGCTGGGATATCCCTGTTAGACTCCTCACGCCAAGGCTCAAAGATCGTTATGGAAGAGAGAAGCAGGAAGACTATAGGAGCCAGAGGTGGTAAATGATCACAAGGAGACAGTGTTGACAGGACACAGCAGGGCAGTTGCATGAGGAAATCGGTGGCTGGGACAGCATGAATAAGACTCATGCAAGCTCAAGTCAGACCAAATCTGAGCATGGAGAAGAGAGGTGAGCATGAGGCCCCACCACAGCTGAGGAGCTACTGGGAGCTGCTGGGGGAGGGAGAGTCAGTTTTCTTTAGGAGTGTTGTTCCTGATAGGTTGACCACATTCCAGGGGAAGGCCACATTTCCAAGGGTATATGGGCAGCACAGTTTGGACTTGATGGGTTTAAAAAAGAGGAGAGGGACACAAAGTTGGGTGATTAGGAAAGGGAGTATATATGTGTGTGGCGGGGAATGAATATGATCAAAGTACCCCATCTGAAATTCTCAAAGAAAAATAAAAAAATCACACACAAATTCACACCTGGGCCAGCTCTCCCACTCTTATGACATCAAGGCCAGTTCTCCCACATGCCTCAGGCACCGATGGGAGGTGGGGAGAAGACATCTCTCCCATCCAACCCATGCTGCCACACTACGGATGGGTAATAGAGACAGCTCTCACATGCCCACAAATTCGGGGCTGGCTCACCCATGCCTCCACCAATGGGGTTGGCTCTTTGTGCTGCCCACACAAGGTGCAGGACCTGCTTTCCCAAGTGTTGCAGCTGGTGGTGGGCAGGGGCAGCTCTCCCACCCTCTGACCTCAGGGCCAGCTCTCCCACCTGCCTCAGGCAGGATGGGTGGGAGGGGCTGGGGGTGGGGTAGGGAGGTGGGAGGGTGAGGTGTTTGTGGCATCTCTCCCACTCATGCCATCACATGACAGATGAGTAATGGGGACAGTTCTCACAACATCAGGGCTGGCTCACCCACACCTCTGCCAGTGGGGTTGGCTCTATTGTATGCACACATGAGGTTCAGGGCCTGCTGACAGCATCTCTTTTAAGACATACTATGTCTTATCTCTGGTCCTTAGCATATAACAGACCATTAATAAGTTTGCTAAAGACAAATCTATTTACTAATAGGGACTTGTGTTTTGATACATAATTCTTTACAAAAATCAATATTGAAGACAAGGAAAATGGGTGGAGAGTGAAGACTACTAGCCTGGTGGCCATATTGTCATGTGACTGATTAGATGTACATTTAGGTGTAACGCTCTCACTCGCTAACTGTATTTTCTTTTTCTAGGAATGGAACCCTTATTTGGGCCTTAACTTGTGTTCACCATAAAATGAGAAAATAATGCCTGTGTTTTTTACTGTGTGGTTATCAACCAATAAACACCAAAATGTGTTTTACTTTATAAAATTTAGTACTGCTAAATGAGACATCTTGGTTCCCAATGGCTGCATAATTGTTAACATGTTCACTTCCTTCCTTCAAGTTAATTTGTTAAGAAAATGTTATATATGGGTGGGTGCAGGTTTGACAAAGCTATGCAGCCATCATCCTGGTCAAGACGTTAACATTTTCCCATCACACTGGAATGTTATTTTGTGTCCTTTTCACTTGGCTCCAAAAGTAAACATTACAGTGATTCCTGCTACCGTGGATTACTGTTCTGTATTCTTGAATTTTATG